TATAATTTATTTATAATTTATAGTTTATTTATAATTTATTATTTGTATCATTTTTTCTTGTTTTTCTAAAAAATCTAATATTCCTTTTATCATAATAATTTATTATATAGATTTGTACTCAATAGTGTCTGCTAACGTTCCCTTTACTGCGCATGTACAAGTATCTCATCATTCTTTCATTCGGAACAACGATGTAGTTGGATACAGTCATCGTGCGTGATAAATATATGTATGTGAGTGTTAAGCAAATTATAGCTATCACTAGCTGCTATCACTGAGAATAGTGACGTTTGACAAATTTTTGTTTTTTTAAATGATTCACTACTAGGTATTCTCATTAGTATTTATTCATTGATAGAAGTATATCAGTATTTTTTCTCCCAAGAGCTTTGCTTTGCGGTTGCATATGCATTCTCAAGAATTCGCTCGAATATTCTAAAGCGAAGTGTTGAATAAAAATTGTTCGCAATACGCTTAACATTAAAATAAAATTAATCAGGTGTGTGTGAAACAATGGATAATGATGTTACATGAAATACAATATCTGAATTAAATTTATGGAAAAGACAAATACGAAAAGTATTGAAATATATTTCTAATTTCCTTTTCTTTCTTTTAATTTTCTTACAATATTCTATAAAGATTAAATTTTCGCGTATCTTCATAGAATTTAAGAAGATTGCAAATCGCCAATGTATTTTGCTCATGTTGAAGTAACATCAATCTTTCTTAGTCAGCAATTTAACTAATCCGATGCGTTATCTACTTGAGCCAATTCAAGTTCATTTAAGATCATTATTCACATTTATCTCTGACAATACGCAAAGATATTTCTTGAATGGTGCAGTAAAACTGTTGGATGCAGTGCAATCGTCAAGAGCTTGCAGAATGCCAAAGGAAATTGTGATTGTTGGAGCAGGTGCAGCTGGTATTGCTGCTGCCTCGAGACTATTGCAGAGAGGAGTAAATGATTTTGTAATATTAGAGGCTAGTGATAGGATCGGTGGCAGAATATATACCAAAGACTTTGGTAAATAATAACCTTCTAAATTGGTATTGAATTAATGAAAATTTAACTTTGTATATTATCTTTGACATTGAAACAGTTCCAATTATATATATTTTTAAAACTTTGGCTGTTTAAGAAAATTTTTAATCTAAACATCTTTAATATTTCCAGGTGAAAATGTGGTAGATCTCGGAGCTCAATGGGTTCATGGAGAATCTGGAAATGTAGTGTTCGAGCTTGCCTCCAAACATGATCTACTAGGTTCATTTGCAGTTCTGTACGATTCTAACAAACATGAATTTGTCACCATTAATGGTGAAGTAATGCCCAATGATGAAAGTAGCAAAGCTCTGATGATTTATTATAATAATTTGAACAAAATGAAACAGAAAGAATTTAAAGAGGAAAGAGGATCATTTGGAGATTTCTTCATAAGAGAGTAAGTACTTTTGTTTTTATCTAAAATTAAGAATATACATTAATTAAATATAATATAAACTAATTAAAAAGTAAATCAAAGTATAAACAACATATTTATTTATTTTGTACATAATATATTAATAAAAAAATGTCAATAAACTGTAAAAAGATCTTTCAAAAGTGAATTTTTAAAAAAAAGTAAAGTTGGTCATGAAATTCTTGTATTTGTCTAAATCTAGAGGATGTTTTCTTCATATTTAACTTACAATTAAATTAAAATATTGTTTACGAAAAAACTATCAATATTATAGAAGTTTTTTTAAAACTAAAAGTTATTAAAAGTTGCTCGTATAATTTTTATTTTCTCGTAAGTTTATAATGGTTTTTTCATATCAAATTTTATGAAAGAGAATATTGTTCACAAAACCATCGATATCACTTTCACGAAACCATGCTTGTAATGTGGGATGTAGATTCTCTCGCACAATCGTATAAACATCTTTATCAGGCACAATACATCTGATAATATAAACAAGGATAAATAAACAAAGATAATTCTACATATACTTTTATATTAATCGTAAAGAAATGATATTCTATTCACAAACACTTAAGAATTATCTGTTAAAAATTTGTTATTAAAGACTTATCAATTTATATGTACCTCACACGATTGTTGCAACATTGATTCCTTAGGTATTCATATCTCAATAAAGAATATATGTATTTCAAATATTTTGTATCCAAGTTGTTATGCAGCTGTTCATATATTTTTAAAGGGTTATTGATTTTTTCGATGTACCCTTTTGTTAGTATTGGTATAACATAATCGACCTAAAAGTAGATTAATTTATAGTACTTAATATCAGTTGATGTTAAAAAAAATGACATAATTAACAGTTCATAAAGGAAATTCGGTTCTTCTAAAATTTGATTCTCCAGAATAGAAGTTGGACAAAGGGTTTACTTTCCCTTTCATAAAAATTATAGCAAAGTTAAGAAGTTTACATAAAATTCTAGGAAGCCAGTACTTGACTTGGGCTATCAAAAAAGAAAAGAAATTGATTTACCTGCTTGAAACAGTCGTCTATGAATTCTTCAGCTCGACTATAGACTTGTTTTTCTTGTTCTTGTAATATAAGTACACCGATTCGTGGTTGTTTAGATCTGAATATCTTCGTGATGCACTCAGCAGTTGGCAAACCGTCATTAGCAAACGTCAACATAACTATACAGCCATACGTTTGTTTATGCTGCTACGATACAAAATATAATATTAAAAAATTTTTAATTTAAAATCTTGCTCTTGTTAGAAAAATTTTCATGGATGTATTAATCAGTTGAGCAACCTGTTTCTGCTGTCTATCTTGTGGCATGTACATTGATTCACTTTCTTTCATTTTACTTTTACATTCTACCATTGAAATTGGACTCAGAACTAATGGTGCTTTTGGTATATGTCCAGGTTGAATTATTTCAGGTCCTAAATATGTATAAAACATATAATTAAGCCTTAATGCATGATTGGATCATTTATAACTTGCTCAGTTCTTTTCTTCGAAAAACTAGGAATATCAAGTAATTAGATATAACATTTATATACAATTTTTTTAAATACATCTTTATATAACTATACTTATACTTTCTAAAAATGTTGAAACATGTGTAAGAATTATTTAATAATTTTTGTATATTTAAGTGTTCATTAAAGTGATGAAAATTAACTCGGGACACGACTTATTGGTGTAATAAAAGATCAGAAAAATCTCATCGTGTGTACTAAAGGTTATATAATTGTGTAATTATGACATTTGTAAATTCCAAATTTGTGTATGTGTGAGACTTACGATTTATTCTGTCAGAAAAAAGAAATGTTATTGTTCTTTATATTACCATGGCTTGGTGTGACATGTTGTGATACAGCATTGACTAGATCATGCACATAAGCCTTAATCTGATTTATTACATCAAGTCGTCGTATTTTTTGCAAAACACTCAGAATTTTGTCTATTGTTGCCTCTGGAGATTGCACATAAGCCAAAAGCACGTAATATGTTGGATCTTGCAGTCCTTTGAAATCATAATCTATACACTAGACAACAAAATGACATTATAATATTATCTTTACATTATTATTATTATATAATAACATGTATATGAATTAGCTTGAGTTCATATGCATACTTATTACTTGTCATTTTTCTGATAATCTTACACGTATCTGTTCCATTGTTAAGCCCATATGTGCTGCGAATTCCTGCCATCCATCATAGATCTTCCCTGTTGCTGTAGAACTCAGCAACAAACATAGTTTTTGTAATGTAGCTTTACCAATATGCTCGAACAAATATGCAGCGTGAATACGTGATGATTCTCTCTGAATATTCACAATAGTCATATCTAAATTTGGTGGTCCATCCACTTCATTTCTCAGTTTCTCCAACTCCAGATCTACTTTCCTAGAATTATATTTTTCATTGAACGTTCGCATTTTCTTCAAGATGACACATCCATTTGCACATATTGTTTATACAACTAAAAAATTCTGAATTTGTCAAGAATTCAATCTTAATAGTAACAAAATAAGTTATGATTATAAAATTAATAGTAATTTAATATTCAGACAGTTACCTTTTTGCAAACATCTTGCCGAGTTTTATTAGCAAGAAAAATTAGGTTGTTATTGCAAGTATCAGTGTGATTTGATTGCATTACTGCTGTGCTCGCTTCTGCAATAATTTGCAGAGAACATGATACATTTCCATGCTTGGGATATTCAAAGATCTATATTTAAAAATATAGATCTCAGTTGAATAATTTAGTTCAGTAAAACTCAAATATCACAATTGGAGGCTATGCTTTTCTTATATATGACAGAATGATTGCAACATGCTGCTGGTGTCAGTCTCCCCACCACAATATAGTACAAGATTGATGATTCATTCTTACTTTCTACCCGCGTAAAATTTGAATCAGAAAAATATGAACAAATTCTTGCCTTTGTTCCAAAAAATTTGCTTCTAATAAATGAATTTACCAAATAAATTCTTTTTTCAATATAAATGTAAGCATTAATGCATATATATATATA